CCCCGCGGGGGACGTGGCCGGGGGCCTGGGCCTCAGCGTGGACTCAGGTAAGCGGGAGAGGGAACGTGGCATCCTCGGGCACCTCTTGCCCTGTGCCCAAACCTGGGCCGAGCCCAGGACCCCAGTTATTTCTCCTTGGAGACCCCAGGGCCCCTGAGGCCTGAAGGTCTGTCTTGGGTGGGGGTAGGGGTAGCGTTGTGTTTCAACAGATGGATGACCCTATGCCGTAAGTGTGGGCAGAATGAGAAAGTAGGACCCTGCCTTAACTTGGCTGGTAAATATTGGAGGATGTTTTTAAAATAAAACTTGTTGGAAAGATTCTAGCTCTGTGCTGTTCGGTAGCGTAGCCACCAGCCACCTGTGTTGGTTGAGCCCGTAAAATGTGGCTAGGCCGAATTGGGACGTGCTGTCAGTGTGTAATATACACTGGATTTCAAGACTTTGTACAAAAAAGGAATGTAAAATTCGTCTACTAATACTTTATATTGATTGCATGTTGAAGTACTTTCAACACATTGCATATTGAACACATTGGGTTAAATAAAATATGTTACTAAGATTAATTCTCATCTGTTTCTTTTCACCTTTTTTTTTGATGTGGCTGCTACAAAATTTAGAATTACGTCTGTGGCTCCCATTGTATTTCTATTGGACAGTGCTGATCTAGAGTACTTGCTAATAGTGTAGTTTAAAATCCTCTACAACTTGGAGGGGTCTCTTGTCACCTAGCAGTAGTCACAGGGAAAGAAAACTATGACTCATGACTCTGATATCAACTTAATTGCCAAATTAAATGGGACTGTTAAAAATGTAACTTAACAGGAATATGATTTGAATAATATTATTGAGCCCCTGGCTTAAAGAGTTCAGTTTGAAAGGTACATTCAAATAAGGGTTTGCTTTTTTGCTTGCTTTATTTTCAGGGCAAATGAAAAAAAAAGTTATATAATAAATGCAATTATTGGCTTGTAGTCGTGCCCGCTTGCCCTTCCCTCAGGTGCAGATTTGACATGTCTGTTTGCTTTGCTTTTACTTTCATTGGTGCCCTTTAGATGAATTCTGTGACTTTCACAATAAAATAGCTGCATTTGTCTTTTTCTTTCCTTAATATCTTGTGCCTTCCCTCCCTCCATCCCTTCCTCTTCCCCCCCCCCTTCCCTCTCTCTCTCCCCCTTTTATTTTCTCTCTGTTTTCAGGTTTGCAGCCTCAGGACAAAAGCAAGGATCTGTACTGGTTTTAGACAACCCACCTTCTTCCCTGTAGGTCTCTGCTTAGCATGATTGGTGACACTCAGAGCTGAAATCAATCGAGTGGGTTTGTAACAGCTTCTGATCTTGGTTTGCAGCTCGTCGTTATTCTCTCTGTGGTGCATCCCTCCTGAGCTGATCCGCTGACCCAGGGTTTCCCCTTCCCTTTCCCTTCTGACCAGCGGTGGAGGCTCAGCACCTGTGCCTCTCACTTCATGGACGAGGACATGGGGGAAGGCAGAGACTTCAGACTCCTCCGTGTGTTGGGAAAACCAAAACACACATCGCCAGAAATTTCATCTAAAAATAATGCCTTCTGCCCAAAGAGCAGATCCCAAGACTCTGAATGATGCTTAATGACTTTGGGACAATCACTGGAAATATTCGTGGTGAGATGACCTAGGTGACGTGATATCCTAGTTTTCTTGAAAAGAGGGAAAGGAAAAGAGACATTTTGGTGTGAATATTTTTTATGTTGATGTGAATTATCTCCTTAAGTAGTGTGATCATAGCACTGCTGATGTCAATATCCTCAGATTGAAAATGGATTTGGATTTGCATCAAAGATGGTGGTAGAGAAGTAAAAAGAAACCAGTTCCTTCTTCCTCACCTGTAGCCTCCAGCTCCCCGCCTGCCCACTCCCTCCCTGCAGCACCCACTCCAGAAACAAAGACACACTTTTTCCTTCGGACTGTGAACGCAGAAGCCTCAGCCTGAATGTGAGTGGCAAGTGGCTTATCTGGAGCCACCTGCCCTAGTCTTACTAAAATGCAGCTGTTGTAGGACAACTGTTTAAAACTCCAGAAATACATCGACCAAGGTGGCACTTCCCAGTGTTTGGCACAACAATTGCAATTGCACTGGATATATTTTATATGTGTGTGTGTGTGTGTGTGTACATAGATCAGATTTTTTACAAAGAACATTTTACGACAAAAGAAGAAACCCTTCTCTGCCTTCTCTACCACAAATTCTGTCCCTCCCTCTATCCTCCTCTGGATGAAAAAAAGAAAGCATTAGGAGACCCCAGTTGTCTCCGTGAAGAACTAGGAGTCACCACGTGGGGAAGAGATGTCCGTGGCGTCTCCAGTACCTCGAAGATTTTTCAGTCTCTGTGGTGATGATTTGGTCACTTTAGTGTTGGGACAGGGGAAGGGGTTGTGGTGGGCAAAACTGAAGGGAATGAGGAAGAGGAAACGAACATTAAAGATGTTTGTTTACCACGAGGTCGCTGTGCTGTTTCTTATAAGGAAAACAAATGTCTTGGTTTTTCTCTAATAGAATAAACTAGTTTATGGTAGTAAGATCTGATGTCAGTAAGGAAAATTACTTCGTATATTTTTTCAAAGTGTTTGTTTTGCCATGCCACGAAACCTGTAAACCCCTCTCCACCTCACATCAGCCCTGGAGAGAAGAAGTCAGGTACCCGCCTCTGTTTTACAGATGAGAAAACGGGGCCCTCGGGAGCCCAGGTTATCTGGAAGCCCTCATCAAGTAAGAGCAGAGAGGTACGGAAAGCCCTGCTTGGACACCATTCAGTCACATACACATTTATTATTCTCCAAAAGAGAATTATTGTTATTACCTAAATTCTAGACTCTTAAGACAATAGAGTCATCAGCTTAGAAATGTTTTGGAAATTTGGGTTATTTTATATTTTAATCAGCAAGGCTAAGAAACCAAACCTACCACTAGGCAAAAAAAAAAAGAAAAAGAAAAAGTGAAAAGAAATTATTAAGAAATTAATGGTTTTATTTTCCTTTGATATCACAGTTATTTGTGTTCTTTCACTAAAGACAGAGATTTAGTATTATGCCCAAATCACCCTTTATGTTAAAGCAAAAATAGTCCAAATATTTGGTCTAAATCTTGACCTTCTTTCTAACACAAGAGGCAAATATAATTAATCTTGGGCAATTGTCTCAAGAGCTAGAGGCAGCTAAGGGGCCTTCCTCAGAGTATGGCTTTAGCAGAGTTACCCATCCCCTCTTTCCATCATTTTGGTACCTGTGAAGTAAACTATGATCATTACAAGAACCCACTACTGGTTTTGCTCAGAAGGAAGGTACCATATGATTATATTGTACCAGATGTGGTAGCAATTAGTAATAATTAATTGCATTACCTATAACAATAACTAATGTTAATTGTTTGTCACAGCCTGGATACTAGTCTGAGGACTGTCTATATAGGCAAACTCATTTAAGCCTCATAAAGATTTTGTGTGGTACTTATTGTTATGGTCTCCTTACCTATGAGAAGACTGAGCCTCACAGAGGAGAAGTAATCTGCCCAGTCACATAGCTAGTAAGTGGCAGAGCCAGGATGCCAACCCAGGCAGCTCAGGGGCACAGACTGCGCTGTTAATCCCTGCAGTAACTGCTGGCCCACTTCCGATTTGTCTTGAGATGTTCAGCTTTGGGCTTACTTTCTCCTCCACAATAGATGAATAAAGAAGGGAAAAGAGGCAGGGCAGCAAAGACTAACATGCTGTAGAACTTACATAATCCCAGGTCTCAGAAAAAGCATCATAGGATATTGTCCAGACTCCTTCATCAAATGGCACGACCTGTAGACTATTCAGCCAGATGCAGATTTCCATTCATCTCCAGGAAGGAATTATTACTGCTTCTCTCATTAATTCATTTCAGTGTTTGTAGGCTTCTCTGCCCTGAATCTCTTCACACCCAACCTAACCAAGTCGTGTTAAGCATTAGTCTGAGGTTTGGACGTTGAGGCAACAACTAAAATTAACTTTGGACCTCTCTGTGGATTTTTTAAATCTGTGTTCCATTGGCATGGATTACTGATATAGACAAGCATAAATAAAATGTATTAGCTTCCAGAAAACTCTTTAAAATTTGCCACTGAGTAGGTGGATGGAAGAAGAAAGCCCAGTGGTGCATTCTCCACTAGACATCTTTTCTAAGTATTTCCCCTGCCCCCCAAAGAGGCATTCCCTGTGCTTCACCTACGTTCACACTCACAAGATCTCTGATCAGAACACATAGGGAGACTTTTCCCAGCCATGAGGTTCTGATAACTGAAGCCTCTCTCCTGAGCTGCATCTGACCTGAATATCGGGTTGCTGGTGAGAAGATTCATTCACTGGAACTGGCCTTTGGGGCAGTCCTGAACACACTGTCCAGGGCTCCAGTGACCTGGCACACAGGACGCTCGGAGCAGAGCACTTGCCTCCGTGTTGTACGTTCCCAAAGGAGAAATGCAAGATCACCTAGAACTGTAATCATTCGTTCTGTGTAAGAAGACTTTCAAAGGGAACTTTGGTGGATTCATAGCCCTAACTGACTTTTTTTTTGACATTCTTTTAGGCCTACCAAGTCACGTAAAAGATGAACTCTCATGCTTGCCTTGCTAACATTCTTGCAACCACGCAGATTAGAGAAGGCCCTAGTAGTTGAAAAAAGGATGTTCAAGGGAAGGAGGGATGACAGGAGAAAAGGTAAAGATGATGTTTTTACGTATATGATACCTGGTTGGGGGTCTGAGAGATTAAATTCTCCTCTGATCATCCAGGTTGGCACTGGTGTCCTCCTCACCCATGGTTTTCCCTTTGCACTTGGCCTCTGCCGAGGGAGAGGTGACGAAAAGGGGAGAGACAGCTCTCTGCCACCAAGTAATCCTGTTGCCGATTGCCCTTTGGCTGAGAACTCAGTCTCCCAACTGCAGGGAACTCTATCTGTTCTACTCCTTTACTTTAATAGGAGTTGCCATCCTGTCTCATTTCCCCTTTGAAGTTCTATTTCAATGCGTGGCAAATCCTAGCAATAACTTAAGATTGATTCAGGCCTGGATGTGGGGGAGGGCAGGCGTGGTGGGTGTTGCAACGCAGACTCCCTAACTGGAAGCTTCTCTTGCCACTCTTTCTGGGTAAGTGCTGCATTCTCTGTGCCCTTTCGAATGGGGGGAAGCAACTCGTAAGGTCATTTTGACCTCCCGTTTGCTTGGAATCACAAATCCTGCGTTTATGTGCTGGCACCCACACACCTTCTATCAAAATAAATGAGAAGCTCTTTTTTTAAGCACTTAGTGACTGGTTACTTCAGAGTTGGAAGAGATTTAGAAAAATAAAACAGACAGACTGCTTTGCATATAAATACCATTTCCATAAATTGCATTTTTAAACATAATTCACTAAGTGTCCAAGCATGGAAGGAAAATGGAAGGATATTTGAAAAGACTTTAAAAATAAACAAAACCAAAAACCATAGATTCTTTTCTAAAATTGCTCTAACAGTCTTTGGATAATTTACAGGCAGATAATTCACATTTTGATTGTACTTGTGAAAGTCTGCTCCCTGTATTCCATTCTTCCTTGCAAGATTTTTAGAATTTATTATTATTCAGTATTTGTTGCATATTTCTGAAATCTGGAGTTAAGGAGAAAATGTCCTAAAGGCAATATCATTATTACAGTTGCTGTTTGCCCATAACTGAAGTTTTGACATTTACACAAACAACAGGGTTAAACAAATGTAAATTTCATATTTCCTCAGTATTCCCCATGAATATATGAAACACCCTCATCTCCCATGAATAAATGAAACTCATTATACAAATACAGTATATACACAACAGAATCTATTTATCTATAAGTATCACCCCCCCCCCACTAACGCAGGCCTAAAGAGAAGTCAGAGACACCGTCCCTCAGACAGGCACAGACACAAATGATTATTCTCACTTGACAGACCAACTGTACCGCTCTTTCCTTGTATTTCACTCCAGCCCCAGAGGGCTGGTCAGGGAAGAGACACTTGATAGCTGCTGTTTCCGTGGCTGAAATATTTGTGAAGTTACCGCATAATCTGAAAGCAGAAGCTAATAAATTAGAGGGTGCTAACTGGAGCTGGCGTGGAGCTGTCCATCATGTTCTCCTCAACCCAGAGAGACCCTCATAACCTAAAAAGGCAAGGCGGCCTTCAGGAGGCGCTCCCAGTTGTCTCCAGCCTTGACCTCCACCCCTGGGAAACATTGCCTCCAGGCAGTGTGGCCAGGGGCAGAGTCTGCAGAGGTGATTCTTCTCATCCAAGCTCCCTTTAAGAAAAATAGACAAATTTCCTTTGAGGGAAAATAGTGAAAGATTTTACTGAAGAATTAGTGTTTAGAGAAACACACATTCTTTAGAGAAATATACAGTGAATTTACTGGAGTAATTAATTCTTTGGTAAAACACTACCCTCTATTTGGAATTTTTCACTTTAAAACACAAGTTTAACTCGATAAAAGAAAAATCTAAAGTCCTCTGCAACATAGTGTCATGTCTACCTCAAATCACAGTGTTTCTACGAGTTTACCAATGTACTCCTATGGGACTCAGTGTCTCTAAAACAGAAATGACATCCAAATTTCCTTTGTCTTGTGAAATGTATTTCTTCCACCTGGAAAAGCAGCAGTAGCATATTTCCTATTCCTCTGTTTTTTTGTTAGAATCTCCTAGTAAGCTTGAGTTCTGCTTGTCTCCCAATAGTTCAGAATCACTAACATGATTTTACTCAAACTATCCTGTCATCACTATTTCCCTTTCCTGTTAAAACTGCATAAATTAATAAACGTACAATTATCAGTACATACAAGAAATTTAGGTAAAAAGTAGACTAAAACTTAGAAAACAAAACTCAAGACTTGAAATTTTTTTGATTCCTAATCAATATTTGCATGACTCTCATGATCTGGTCATCACCTAGAAATTTTCACCAGCATTTACTGAAGGAGTACATACTTTAGAAGTGTATTTACAACTAAGAAAATACTCCATCTGATAATTTGGAAGCCACTTTACCATACTTCAAATAAAAATAATTTTCACTCAAGAAAAGCAAATCAAGTATCTTAAAATTCTAAACACAGTTGCTTAAAAGATGGCTATAATTGATGGGAACATCAGAGCTTCTTTCTTTTCCTGCTAATTCTCATTACTACAGACTTGCCCTTGTTTTCGGCAACTATGTTATCCGCTCTGTGCCAATAATGGCATTCTCAAGGAATGGGATGGAAAACAAAACAATTATGTTATTACTGTTTATTTTTACTAGGTACAATCCTATTTCTCTTTTTCTTCTTCTAGCACATTTTACCCAGTGTGTATTCCATCTCAGAAAACAACTGGATACTTTTTCCTCTGGTATCATGTTACTTTTTTTCACTGTACCTGCTTTTTAAACGAAATTTCTTGATCTCTCTGGAAGCACTGCCTAAAGGTTCTGTGTTATGGGTATTATTCCCTCTTGCTTTGTGGAGAGTGGAATCCTGTCTTTACCTCAGGCAATTTCTCCTCCGCACTCAGAAACTGACAGAGG